TACAAATAATAATTAATAATTAAAAGTAAATATTTACATCAGCTGAATAAGTTCTTGAAATATAAATATAGAAATATAAATACGAGTAATTGTACGTGTGATACTGCGCAATGCGTGGCGCAGTATTTTCACAAAATATAAAAATAAAAATAAAAATGATGTCATTTTCACGTGACTCCCGCAGCAATTCGGTTGGTCGGATCGGCAACGCGGGACCTCTCTTTCGGTCCTTATTTTACTATCTCACAATACATACCAATTCTATGTCTTCACGCTTCCTTTTCAAGATATTTTTGTTTTCAAATAATTTAAGACTTCAATAGTTGTGTCATCAAGTAACTGTTCAGTGTTACTAGCATCAATTATAATTACCACTTCAAAGCTTTTTTCTTCCCTGATCCACCGATAAAAACTTTTCTGTCTGACATCTGCAGGGAACACAACAAGCATCTGAATCCAACAAATCCCATATTTATGAGCTTCTGAATAAATATTCCTTAAGCAGTCTAAAGTGGATTTACATAAAGGATTTTGCAGACCATGTAGATTATTGTATTGACCATTTAATTCCTTTTCTACTAGTTTCATAAGGTTATCTTCATTGTTAGATTTTGACTTTTGAAAAAAACTATAAGGATTTGTTGTTCTTAGTGCTTTGGAACAATTATTAACTTTCCCCACTAGCTTTGCTTGCAGGAAAAGTGGTACTTTTACAACAGTTTTCTGGGTTTTGAATTGGACAATGCACACCAAATCTGGTCCTGCTTCTTCCTCAGGAAGAAAAAATGGTGAAAATTGTTTCTTTAAATATTCTAGCAGATTTAGCTTTTCATCATGAATCATGCAGAAAATATTTGGATTATCTGTACTCAAAATTGTTGATGGATAATCAAATATAGTAATGTGTTCCCTAAATATTGGCTGGCATAACAAATTGTCATTTCTTGCTTGTAAAATTGGTACAAAAAGGTGATGATTTTTTAAGATATTACCATCAAATAATCTTTTGAGTGATTCAGCAAGATATACCTCAAAAAGACTACCACAAAATGATAAATTCCAGCGATTATTTACCATTTTTTTCAACAGATTATTAAGGTTATCTTCTTTCTCTCTCAAATATTTCAAAAAAGCAAGAAAAGGCAATGGTTCAGCCAATTGTGAGATCAACTGAATGCTATTGCCAGATCCATTCTCAATTTTTGTTAATTGTCCAAATCCTGTTTGAACAATTAACTCAGCTTCTTTACCCAACAAATATGAACATTGTCCATAATAATAAAAGTTTATGGCCATCTCTTTTATGCTCTCCCAAAGTGGACCATGCCTTCAGAGTTTGTCAACTGCATCATATAGATTGGCTATAATGCTGTCTTCTGAGAACTGACACCAATGTTTGAGTGCCTCACAGTTGTTGGTATACTTTTTATCATCCATACATGCTGAAGCAATAAAATTAACTATAAAATGGCAGCAGCCTTGAAAATACTTGAATATGATTTTCACCTCCTCCTCAGACAAGCACAAGAATTGGTCAATATACCCTTGCATTTCTTTAATGGTTGAAAAAGTATTATTTACATTATAGAAAGATTCTTTTCTAACATTAACATCTAGTTTTGCAATGCTACTTAGTGTATCTTTTTTTATTTCTTCTAGCTGCATTCCTGTGCCAGTCATTATAGTGCATGTAATATCTTGGATGAAATAATAAGATGTTGTTTTGAGAAAACATGAATATAATGATCTCCCATCATTTTGGGTAAAACTTGTAGCAAATGAAAATACATTCTGATATGTTCCAAGAGCCACTTGTGCTTCATCAAATATTATTGGTATCCGTTTCTGATAACACTTCCAATTCTCTGGCAATAAATTTATGATGTCATTGCAAATCTGCAGCACAAAATTTCATAAATCTAATGGATGCACTTTTTGAAACATTTTTGAGACAGTTAACCAAAAATCTGTAACTTCACCATTTCCAGAAGATGCTGTCAATTTAATAACAGAAGGTATAACCTGTAATATCAACCAATGTTGTGGCACAAAAAATTGATTACACTCATTAGACATCTTAAGAAATTGTTGGAGAAAAAACATGCGTGCAGCCAATATATGTCCAATATATTGGAATGCTGTAGATCTATTTGATTTGTTCCCATTTTCCTTTAATTCAGACCACATATCTTCTACCACACTATCTAAGTCCATCGAACCTGGATTGTCAACTCCATTCATTGTGTAGTATAAACCAGGGTTGGCAAATTGACTGGTCCATTGAGAACAGATGGATTTTGGACTGGTCCATTGCCATTAGTAAAATACTAAATATGGTTAAAGTGTTACACTAATGGTCCCAATGGACCACCAATGGACCACCAATGGACCACACATTTGCCAACCCTGGTATAAACCATATTGTCTACACAACAACTCAAAGATAATGCGTGTTTTTCCTGACCTAAATGAGATCAATAAGTAAGGCAAGTGCAACATTAATTAATTGTATCTCATAAAATCAAAGTCACTTACCCAGATGTACCAAGTGAAATAAACCAAGGCATTTTCATTGCTTTTTCTTCAAAACTTTGTATATCAGAAATAAAGCCACCATTACATGTTTCTCCATTTTTGTTGATTTGTGGTAAATTATGCAATAAGAATAGTAGTCTACCAGTTATTGGATGAGTTGGTATATTAGCAGCATTTATTGAGGTTGCCTGGATATGATCATCTGGAACTTTGAGAACATGAAGGGTTGGTCTCTTGGTTATATATTCTTCCCAGCTATTTCTGTGAATTTTCCAGAATTCAGAAATTTTATTAATAGCATCAGATATTGAAATATATGTAATAACTCCTAATAATGTAGATAGTGATGAGAAGTAAGGTAAGGAAAAGTGAAGAAGTAAATAGAAAGGTACAAGTTAGTTGATATTACAGTAAATAATTTAATGGCACAAGCAGTATACCAAATATTTCCCTTCAATATATAATCTAAACATTCGCATAGTGAGATATTTACCAAATTTTTTTTCTAATTCAAATATTCTTTTCTTTAATCCGGCTACTTCAGCTTCTAAATTATTTATGTTTTTATTTTCCTGTCAGAAAGTTGAATCAAAATCAATGAAATTACCAATCTTACCCATCCAAAGAAAATACAGTCCAATTATTACTTAATTACTTACTTTATTACCATCGTCTTTGTCTTTTGATCTGCAGCATTTAAGTGTAAATTTATATGTTGTGAGTGAATTTGAAATTGACATGCGTGAACGTTAAATCTTATAACTAGAGTGGCATCTAGTGGCGATAGCCACCACCATTTAATAAACACTTACCCAACTTTCGTTGTTTTAATTAGGGTTTGTATTCACAGATACCATGAATACCATTAAGGGGGTTACGCACTAATAAATCAGCAAAAAAATCTCTTAAAAACACTTGATTTTAATGGTGTGTAACCCTGTGTGACCTCTTTACGGTATCCGTGAATACAAACCCTAGTTTTAATATTATCTTCTTTGACTCTTTGCCTTTTTCTATTTTTGTCGTCAGGCATTCCTAGAAGAAATTTGTTTTTGATCGACATACGCACGTGCACACAACTTATTACACAGTGGGTCTCGATTTAACGGACCTCGATTTAGCGGATTTAGGGGTTTAACGGATAAATTTTCAAAACCAAATTTTTCTATAATAATAATTATTTTATCTCAATTTAACGGATTTAACGGATTTTCATATATTAATATATTCGATTTAGCGGATATTTTTTAAAAATCCATATTATTATACAAATTAATAAATGGGCATGGACAATATGACAATAGTAATAGAAACAGCCCAAACGTCAAAATCACGATTAATCGAAAAAAAAGATCTGCATTTCAAGTAATTTACCTATTGTTTTTAAGAGCTTTAACAGAAAATATCATTAAGTAAAGTGGATATGGTTTCTAAACTAAAATTAATCTCTGTAATAAATTGCGTGTAGAAACGCTGTTAACTCAAAATCATGATTTTTGACGTTTGGGTTGTTTCTATTGTCCATGCCCCAAATAATAGAAAAAAATTAAATTGTCCCGGAATTAAGAGGTTCGGCCAAAATATCTGCGTTAAAGTCTAATTCCGGTAACAGTATTTTTTAAAAAATAGAAATCAGTGTAAGTCATTCGTTAATACAAATAAAGAATAAATTAATTAAGAAAATAAAGAGATATTTAACACTAATAATAAAGAATACGTAATAAAAATAAATTTTTTGTCTTATGGCAAAACTTACTACTTCTCTAACTAACTTGGCCGAGTACTAATAAAGAATTGTTAATTCTCACTTTTAAACGAAGAAAAAAAATTTTTTTTGCCTTCAGCAAAAATGAAAAAAACGACTGGTTTTTTGTTTCTTATCTTCAGAGAAATGAAAAAAATGATTGATTTTTTGCAATCTGCATGCAATAATTAAAAAATTTCCCAAATAATAATGTATAATTCAGGGTTGGCAAATGTGTGGTCTATTGGTGGTCTATTGGGTCCGTTAGTGTAACACTTTAACCATATTTAGTATTTTACTAATGGCAATGGACCAGTCAATTTGCCAACCCTGGTATAGTTAAAAAAATTGTGGCAGGGGAATTTTTATAGTTGATTAATTTTTTACAAAAAGCGAAAAATAAAGTGAACCTTTACATATTTGATCTACAAACGCATTTTCTATATACAACAAACAATTCATTAATCCTTAATTGATGGATGTTGATCATTTATATAGTGAAGGAAATTTCACAAAAGCATAGTTCTATTTTCTTGTAAAAGATCATTTTTTAATAGTAAAACAGCACTTCTATATTTTTTGCCATCATTTGATATGAAATCTCCCTCATTTTTTACTATGTACAACACACTCATTTATTCGCGGATCATCAATCTTTAATCTTTAATCCATTAATTCATTTAAAATTGAGCCATGTTTTTACCTGAAGATCTACTTTGTTGATACTTTATTAACATAAAAAATTACACAAATTTTTGATATATGAGGCAAATGATAAACGTTCACTGAAAAGTTCGATAAATATAGAAGGTTATTATTACATGCATCAAAATTATCATTTTAAAAAATTTCCAGATGTGTGAATATTTACATCTTTAATTTTTAATTTCTATACAATTTTCTTAAAAATATATAATCAATCAAGTATATATATATATATTTCAATCTGTCAAAACTTGGATGCTTCCGGAAATTTTCCGATAAATTTGATTGCATTTTGCGCCTGCTGCATAGGTCTTTCTTTGTTCCATTCTCTTGTGTTCTATCAAACAAAGTTATATAAACATACAAATGTGATAACGAGCTTTAGTTTTATATTCCTTAATATAAAATCATTATTAATTTTATACTTCTGACAAAAGAATTTATTTAAATGACAACTTATTTAGTGAATTCATTATAATTGAACACAATATTTGCATTTTATCATATACTCTGTTTAAATAATTGATTTTAAACGAAAAACAACTTGCGATAGAATAAATTTCCAAAAAAGTTTTTATTTGTGATTCAACCTTCTCGTTACGCTTAGAATTCCTTTTAATATCACCTCCGAGATTTGCATGACAATTATTATTATTATTTGTACAAAAAAAACATACACATGCAATAGTAACTAAGCCTGAAGGAATTTCAAAGAAAACTAGTTTTAAAATTATCACCATTCCTAAAATGATTTATTTATGACGATTTTATTTCCACAATTATTATTATAAAATTGCCAATGCTTGATACTTTTAAAGATCTATAAGTACTCCAATTCTTCGAATATTTTTTTTTTCGTTCAAAAACATATTTCATTTTTGAAAAAAATTAAAAATTATGATATATTCAAATAAAAAAATCAAACGTAATAATTATAACAGACCATTTTATATTCCAAAAATATTCTTTAAAGGATATTTAATAACGATCCTAATATTCGTGTCTTTTAGATTAATTTATTTACTTGATGAACTTACATGCCCAGATGATGGAAGTGTATCATATTTCCACCATAGAAATAGTATTACTCATATTTATAGTAATAATAATAGTAGTAGTGATAATAACGAGAGTAGTGATAGTAATAATAGTAATGATAAAAATAATCATACCACCAGCAGTGATAATATCGAAATAATAACAAACGATGAAGAACTTTATCTCACATTTATTCCTCATAGTGGATTTCACAATCAAAGAATTGCTTTAGAGAATGCTATAGTTTTATCTTGGTTTTTAGGCAGAACATTGGTTATTCCACCACCTTTACTTGGATTCAGAAAAACAATGCACCAATTGGAAAAACTTTTGACAGAACTGAGACCAGAACCAGTAGAAATTGTTTGTAAAGACGCTAAAGAAAAATTTAAATGTATTAAATTTCATAAATCTTATACATTTTATCAATGGGATAAATTATTTGATTTAAGTATTATCAAAGAATATAATGTCAAGACTTTACCTGTAGCAGATTACAGCGAGAAGACATTATTTAAGCTTTTAAATATAAGCGATCCTGAAAACCAAGTTCACAAATCATTCAAATATCACACCAATCATTCACTTTATGAGTCTGATACTCCTGACGCTAAAAGGTTAAAAGATAAACCAAATTGGGATTTCGAGTCTTTAATGGCTCTTAAGAATAACAAAAAAAAGCTTTTATATTTTGGTAGTTTGTTTGGAACAAATAGATTGATCCTTGATTCAAGTGATGCTATAACATTCAGGGACAAAGTAAGATCAACAATGATGCCAAATAATAAATTAATGTTGGAAGTTGTTGACAAAATTGTTGATAATTTAGATGGATTTTTGAATTTCATAACGATTCATGCTAGACTTGGCGACAATCGTTTTCGTAGAGATAAAGATCGTCATCTCGCACAATTTATTGGTAATGTCGGTAATGATTTCCCGAATTTATCAAGTTTTCAACAAATTTCATATTCAAATTATTCATGCAAAGCTCAACCTTATATCAACGAAATTCCGAAATTATTTATCGCTAGCGATGTTAAGAAAGACGATGAATTGATTGGTCCCCTTATCGAAGCTTTCCCCTGTTTATACATGCTTTCGGATTTTTATCCTTTACTTGAACCTTATAAGACACTTAAGAACCCAGTAGACAATAAAATAATGTATAAGTTTTTATTACCTTTAACCGATCTTATGGTAGCTGCAAGAGCTTCAAATGTTTACGCTCTGCGTTTTAGTACGTTTAGTGGATATTTAAATAGATATCATCTTTTTTTATTAAATAATAAACTACAGTACTATAATTAATAAACAGTAGATTGAAAATTATTTGTATATATGTATAGTAAATATAATAAAGATTATCATGGTTACATTAAAACCAAACTAGACGTTCGCTTTCAATTTACTAATATTTTCGTTATTTGTGAACGCCCAGTGAAAATACAATAGTTCCGATAATGGACCAACTAGTATGCTAGTATAAACGTATTATTAGTATTAGGCTTAATACCTCTGTAAATCATTATCAAGTTGACAACTAACCCAAAATTTATATATATATTTCATCAAAAAAAAGTAAAAAACAAATTGGAAAGCTTCTTAAATAAATCAAGGCAAAACTTTTCAACGTTATCCCTTAAAGGAAATTTATGCCAAATTTGGCGTAGATTTACAATTACATAAATAAAACTTTTTCAGCATAACTCCGAGTGTGGTGTGAAAATGTTTTCAAATATCGCCTGATGCAAAATTTCAATGATATGATTTAAAAAATACTATTATAGTGATCGACACCAGGAAATCGTTTTCCTAAATATAGAGAAAATAGGATTGTATGTGAGTATTGTAAATATCAAAGGCAGGAAGAAGGAATAAATGCTACAACTAATGATAATCATTCACATATATTTTGTATTCTATATGATGTTGCTTTATGTTTAAACTCAAAAAGAAATTGTTTTTTAGAATATCACAGTAATAATATTTAAAGGATTTTGTCCAAATTCGGAAGAAATTTTTAGTACAAATTAAAGTAAATATCTGTGTTCTAAATTGTTTTTTCTCCTTGTTTATTAGAACAAGTATCTTCGCATACTTTGCGGTTTTAGACCGGATAATGACTTTTTCTAATCGTGGATTTCAAAAAAACAAAAATTTTTGGATTTTTTTTGAATACATGATTTTGCGCATTATTTTTTTTCCGAAGAAAAAATAATTAATATTAAATTATAAATGAATGCCTTTTTCTAAAAAAAAATGGAGTCAAATAGTAACTTTTCCGTTTGGTGGGGTAACTCGAAAATCTATGCCAAATTTGGCGTAGATTTCATTTCCTTTAAAGGACGGGATACTTGAGGATACAAAAAAAAAGCACTTTCTTTGGATAAGTATTCTGTAACATATCGAAATGACACCAATTGATATTTCTGTATGACACAATTAAAATGTCGGACGCTTTAGTATGTTATAATGTTTTGAAGATCTAATTCATCTGGTTTCATCAAATAATCTTGATAAAGAGCTCAAAATAAGCCAAATACATTTTCCTTAAATTTACAAAAATTAAACTTAACACGAATATTATGCAAGGCCAATGTTATTAATAGAATTGAACTGTCAAGAAGACACATGAAACTGAATTATATAAAAAAAGTTAAATTTGAAAAAGGACGGCAACCTCAACCTAACCATGATCTTTTCATTTCACACTGTCTCTTATAATGTGCCTTGATATCTGCAAAGAACAACACGCAGATATTTGTTAAAACTGTGATTCTATTTAAAAATCTACAAGTTTCCATTGGTAAAACATCTAATGATATATTGGATATGCACAGGAAAGCCTTTGCTATTATCTTGGCTAAATGTGTATTGAATTCACAATTTTTCTTTTATACTTGGAGAACTTGGTTATGAAGATGCAGTTTTAGTAGTAGATTATAGACTCTGCATAGTATATTATTATATACTAAAAATTAAAGATGATGAATTAGATATTAGTACATTTGATCATTAGTCAAATGACACACAACAGTGCTCTTCATGCTGTTCTTGTTTCAGTTGTGAATAAACTTAAATGGTATCCATGATATCAGATAATGGTGGCCATTATCATAACTCTGAGCTAATGGTCATTTTAAGCTACTAACATGAATGGTATAATATTAATATTAAGACTGGGATTTGGACATTTTTAGAGCCAGGAAAAGCTAAAAGTGTCACCTTGTACAGGTAAATTGATAATCCAACTGTTTAATAAAGTTCCAAATGAGGTTTTTAAATAAACTTGAAAATCAAAATTTTTTATAATGGATAAAATTTCACAATAATTGGTAGTGTTAATTCCTCTACCTGACCTGAATTTTTATTTGAACTATTAAATTTTTCTTGGTTGAATGGGGTAATTGGATTGTACATTGTCATTTTTAGATCTAAATCCAAATGTTTGATTTATAATTGTTTAATACATGATTAAATGCATCATCTCTAATACAATGGGTGTATCAAGAACCATTTGAGGTTAGGGTCATTAGATGTAAATTTTATGATATTAAATTTTCTTATTATTAATTGCAACTAAAGCATTAATTGTACACCTAGTGCACAGTACCAATCCATTTTAATAACCTCTGATTTGGTGCTTTCCTCTGCTGGAGGTTTTTTTCAGAAGAAGACAATGATGAAATCACATCTACATTTATAAATGATGATGATGACGACGAAATTAAATCCTCATTTATAGTCTGGCATTCAAATATGTATTATATATATTCCAGATTCATGAAGAACATATTTTAATTTATTAATTCGTAATGCAAAGAAGCTACCAGACGTCAAGTTAAAAGTTTTTTTATAGACTGCTGAAATTTATCACGGTGACAAAGTAGTGTATCATATATATTAAATATTATTATATGAAAACATTTAAGGGTAGAGTCCATGACATCACCTATCATATGGCACTACACAGTTTATGCAAGAATAAGTAAATTTTTTTAATTTTTTTATACAAAAAAAAAATTTAACGATTAATTATATTTATATAATTGTGTAAACATATAACGCATCTTGTATGTGGTAGAATTTGTCTGTAGGAATGAAGCTTTGAAAATCAATACAGTTCATGTGCTTGATGTTTCTTGTGCTATGTTTATTGTGGGGTTAAATATAACAATTTTTTTATTACCATAAGTTATTCAGATTTTTTATTTATTATATTCACTATTAATATTATTTATAAGACTAATTTAAAATGTTGTTTATATCTTTTAAATCTTAACCATAAAAGTAATCAAGTTGGTAATATTTATCAAAACTATAATAATAACAGGTTATTTAAAATCACACTTTCCTAAAAATGATTTTAAATAAATGATTTTTAATTTTATAATTTTAATTTTATAATTTTTAATTTTATTCTTAAAATATTTTTAAATAATAATGGAAAGACAACAAGAAGAATTTAAGAGAATTCAAAATTATCGAAGTTATTCAGCAATCAATCCTACGATTAGTGATGATAATAAAAATGAGACAAAGGAACGGGTAGGAATGATGAGAATGCAAAGAAGACATTCTTATGATATAAAATATTATAAACGAGAACTTGACCATCAAGCTTATCCACCATCTCCTCCAGAAACTATTATCACCAACAATAGTACTAGTGTCAGTAATAATATTAATACATCCTTTCCATCTTCACAATCTCCACCTTCATCTTTACCACCTTCGTCATCATCATCATCAAAACAGACATCTTGTCATAATGAAAATATTCTTCAAGGAGTTACTTTAGGATTTTCAAGTTCAGGACCTAGTAGTCCTTTACCAACTTATAATAATAATAATGGTAATGGTAATGGTAATGATGATAAAAATGATGATAAAAGTGATGACAATAACAATTATGAAGAATTTAATAATAGTAATAATAATGGTAAAGATGTTACAGAAAATTTTCTGTTTAGAAAAGAATGGGATGATGAAATTAGTAAAAGAAAATATAAAAAATAAAAGTTAAAAAAAATGTGACGTATATATTATTGATAATTACAAAGAATTTTTTTTTTGCAATTAAAAATTCCTCAACATTTTATTATTTTATTAATGACTTCAATATTATTTTATTTTAATTTAGAATTTGCTGCTTATCATATAATAATGATGATAAATTTATAAATATTATATTATGATTTCTTTCCCTAAAAACGGAATAATGTATTAATTAATTAATAATTATAAAATTATAAAATCAAAGAATCACAAAAAATTTTTTTACCCTAGCCATTCTTGAAATTCCATATACAGCACTTGCAAATCCAACTGTAATAAAAGTAAGGTGTAAATACAAGAAGCCTTTTCTAATACCACTTCCACGTAACCAAAGAGGTTGATGAACATCAGCCTTTACCAAATAACATTATTTTTGTTGTTAATACAAGTTTTGTTATATGTAAATTATATAAAGGTTATTTATTATATATATTCTTCTTACTTGGAAGTATCTTTGATTTTCAACGACTCTGTTGGGTTTATATATAACGCTTACCATCTTAATTTAGAGAAATTTGAAATTTGAATTGATTTTGAAAATTAAAAAATTATTCTTTCTGTGCTACATAAGAACCCATTCTTTATTTTGATCGGTTAAAAAATATATGGTGACATGTTTTATATGTATATTAATTAATATGCGTCATAGTTACACTTTATCTAAATATCTGGAAATGATTTTCAATGAAATCAATTGTAAAATAACAATAAGGGGGCGTTTTCAAATACGGTCCTAAGCCTCAATCAGTCAAATCAGCCTTGTTGCTTTGAACTGATTGATTTTTGACTTGAGAAAAAAAAAAAAATGCACAATAAATTTTCATTAGAATCAATTGTTCGTCCTAACATTCTTGCACTTAAACCTTATCGGTGTGCAAGAGATGACTATTCAAATGGAATTTTGTTAGATGCCAATGAAAATTCATTTGGAATGATTAATGATGATAATGAAGAATTGAATAGATACCCAGATCCAAATCAAGTTATGGTTAAAGAACGTCTATTAAAGTTTCGTAACATGCCAACAATTGATTATTTATTTTTGGGGGTTGGATCAGATGAAATTATTGATTTATTGATGAGAGTTTTTTGTATACCTGGTAAAGACAAAATATTGATTACGCCTCCAACATATGGAATGTATTTAATAACTGCAAATATAAATGACGTTGCAACTGTCAAGGTTGATTTAGATGTTGAAGAAGGAAGATTTCAATTGAAGACTGATGAGGTGATTATTGAGTAATTTTTTCAAAAAATAATAATAGATTAATTCATTATTGTATTGTATATATTTTATAGATTTCCAAAGCTTTAAAACAAGATAAAAATATAAAAATAGTTTTTCTTTGCTCACCTGGAAATCCAACCGGCACATTATTATCTAAAGATGATGTTAAACTGATTTTAGAAGATCCAAATTTAAATGGAATAGTGGTAGTTGATGAAGCATATATTGATTTTGTTGATAAAAGTAAAAATGCAAGCTTTGTAGATTGGGTGAAAGATTATCCAAATTTATTTGTTATGCAAACTTTAAGCAAAAGTTTTGGACTGGCTGGAATTAGGTAAATTACATAATATATAATATACATTCATGCATATATATACCTACTTATGATTTTTATATTTAGATTGGGAGTTGGAATTGGAAATCCTAAAATTGTACAATTAATGAATAATACAAAAGCTCCATATAACATAAATTCATTGACATCAAAAGCTGCTTTAAATGCATTGTCAGATGAAAATATAAATAAAATGTATAAAATAGTCAAGAAGATTAAAGATGAACAAATTAAAATTATAAAGTCTATCAAGGAAATTAAAGGAATTGGTAAAATACTAGGAAGCAATGATGCAAATTTTATTTTAGTTCAAATATTAGATGAGAATAATAAAAAACCAAGTAATGAAAAAGCCAATTGGCTATACAAAGAATTGGCAGATAATCATGGAATTGTGGTGAGATATCGAGGAAATGAACTTGGATGTAAAGGATGTTTAAGAATTACAGTTGGAACAATTGAGGATAATGTCACATTATTGAAAACATTAAAGGAATTGTTGGATTGATTTTATTTTTTCTAATGAATCAGGGAATTCATTATTTAATCATTATCATTCTAAAATTATAAACTCTTTTAGTGAATTAAATTTCCATATGTTCTTTATTGTTTGGACTACTAATTAGCAAAGGTTTTATATAGTTGTAACTTTCTTTGGTAATACTGTAAATAATTTTTGAAATTTTTAGATGCTGGGTGACTGATTTCCTCACAGTATTCATGTATAGATTATTAATATTAGCAATATTAATAAAAATGTCAAAAGAATAAATAGTATTACAATAATGATTATTATTGTTAATTGGTTATATATAATAAGATCACATTCATCACTGTGACCATTGTCAGATTTTATTTTAAAATTACCTTGGTGGCAAGATTGCAATAGGATTATTTACATTATAATAACATTATTATATTGTAAATAAATAAATACCAGAGATGATGTGTGAGTAGCAAATAAATTTAAAAATAAAATGATGGATGAGTTTTTTCTTCTAAATCTTTAATTGATGATTCGCGAATAAATGAGTATGTCGTACATAGTAAAAAAATGAGAGAGGTTTCATATCAAATGATCGGTAAAAAAAAGTTAAGTGCTGATTTTACTATTAAAAAATTTTACAAGAAAATAGCACTATACTTTTTTGCCTCAAATTTATATCCCTTTTATTTTATAAGATGGAATAAACATCAAAGAATATATTGATACATTTTTTTTTGATTTTTAAATCAGAAAATAAAAAACTTTGTAACACTGTAAATTCTTCGTCTATATGAAATTTCCTTCACAAATTACTATCACTATCAACAACCTCATATAATCAATTAAACTTTTAGTGACCAAAGTAATAATTATTAAAGTTGGTGATAGAAAAGATTAAAGAATTATATAGCCTTGCATAATTTTTTTGCGCGCACATATTTTTAATACAATCGAATATAAAATGAATTTATTTCTGCTAATTATTAATTAATCAATCCTTCTTTACTGAATTTTGTGTGGCACTTTTCCAAACATCTTGGACGGCCTGTGTGATTTCTTTAATTGGGCCATGTGGATAACGATCAATTCCTTTGAGGTTTGCTAAATTGGGATCTGATGATCTTGATGGATTTTCACTAGCAGATCTTTTGTCTTCTTTTCTATCATTCGTGTCCTAATTTAATTAATGTTAATTAATTCATTAATTAATTTAAAGCTATTTTAAATCTATAGCTGATTATAATAATATCTTTACCCAATTTCCAATTTGTTCGTTCATTCCCTAATATTAAATTAATATAATATTAATTAATTAATTTTAAAAAACATTTATAAAAAATTTAATAAAATAAAAGATAAAGCTTGCTCACAATATTAGCATTTAAACCATCTCGTTTATGATCAGTGTTTTCCAAAACATCAGTATTCCCTTGAGCATTTTTTGGAGTTAGATTTTTTCCACGCGAGTTTTCTATATCCGCATTCCCTGAATCTTTCATATTATCATTTCCCATATCTTGTAAATTACTGGCCATTTCTTTGCTTTTTTCTTTTACACCCTCGGCAATTTCTTTGGCTTTATCTTGCAAGCTGCTGGCTGTTTCTTTACTTTTTTCTTTTACACCTTCAGCTTTAACTTGCAAATTGCTAGCACCTTCTTTGCTTTTCTCTTTTACACCCTCAACAGTTTCTTTACCTTTATCTTGAAAATTGCTGGCGGTTTCTTTGCTGTTTTCTTTAACACCTTCAACTTTATCTTGCAAATCGCTAGCAGTTTCTATGCTTTTTTTTTTTACACCCTCGACATTTTCTTTAACTTTATCTTGCAAATTGCCGGCTGTTTCTTTACTTTTTTCTTTTACACCTTCAGCTTTATCTTGCAAATCGCTAGCAGTTTCTATGCTTTTTTCTTTAACACCTTCAGCTTTATTTTGTAAATTACTAACAGTTTCTATACTTTTTTCTTTTATTCCCTCGACACTTTCTTTAGCTTTCTCTATTAAATTACTAGCAACTTCTTTGCCTTTCGAAGCAATTTCTATGCCTTTGTCTTTTACACCTTCTGCGGCTTCTTTAACTTTGTCTATTAAATTGTTAGTAGTCTCTTTTCCTTTTGCAGTAATTTCTATAGTTTTATCTATTAAATTGCTGGTGGACCCTTTGCTTTTGTCTTTTACACCTTCAGCAATTTCTTGACTTTTGTCTTTGACTCCTTCGGCAGCCTTTTCGCCTTTGTTTTTTACATCATCGGCAATCTCCTTTACTTTTTCGTAAGAACCGCCGACAGCTTCTTTTGCCCGATCTTTTAAATCACCGGTTTTATCTTGTAAATTAGAAACCGTTCCTTTTGTTTTGTCACTAAGGGTTTCTTTATCTTGAACATTTGATGTTTGTTCGGTTCGCTGAGATTTTAAATAATCAGCACGTTCTTTAAGACTACTAGCTGCCGCCGCTGCTTGTACATCATAATCAGGTGTAGTCACACGATCAACAGTATTTTTTACTTTATCAATTATATTATTATTATCACGTTTAATACCTAAAGATTCTTTTGCTTTGCTGACTGTATGACCTTCGGTTAATGATTTATCTGGAGTTGGACCTATTTTATGAGGGTCTTTGTCCTTAGGACCTAATTTTCTTAATGGCTCCGGATCGAAATAAAATGGATCGTGTGACGATGAATCGGAAGATACAGAATCATGATGATTCTTTTTATAATAAATTGTAGTAGTTGAAGATAATGATCGATTTATTTGTTTGATTTGATTAATCTTGTGAATTTCATTATTCTTGAAAATGTTGAATTTTAAGCAATTTCTCGAATAAGAACGTGTAAATAATAATCTACGAGCAGCAATATTATTCATTTTTTTTTTTTTAAAAAAAAAATTTATTTCAAAATATTTTGTTATTTTCTAACGAAAAAAAAAAATCAATTTATATATTTTGTAAATAGTATAATAGTATATATTACCAATTTGTATTTGTAAAAAATGAATTAATGCTGTAATTTTTATGTCATTATTTTTAATTAATGATCTCATAAATTCTACTTCGTTCTAATGCAACATTTTTCCATATGAATGTGTGTTTTTTGACCAAAAAAGGAAATTTTAGGTAATCACAAAAATATAAAATTAAATATTGGTCAAAAAAGGGTGATCCGCACCAGTAAATTTCGTTGTGTAACTAGTATAAATTTAGAAACTATTTCCTGAAATTCAAAATTTGATTGGTTAATAATGTTACACGCGTCCTTTGCGCCCTCTCGATTAATATTATTTTCTTTATATAAGTTTTTATAATTTCATTAAAATAATTACATAGTTACAACAAACCAGCTAGCTATACACTATTATTTATTAGATTAATTAGAATGCAGCTCTTTCAAATCTTTCAAATAATGTCATAAAGTTTATTGACATTGTTTTTTTCTCATAGACATTGCAGATGAATATCTAGATATCCGGTTTCAGATAGTTTCCACCTTCAGAATTTGTTCTAGTGTAAAATAATTATCATTGTTATTATTATTTACTCCTCCCAACAAAGTTCCTGGTGCATTGGTGTATCTTTAGCTTTTGCCAGAATTATCAGAATGAAAGTAAGATGAGATTATTTTTGGCATTTTTTTTTTCTACCACTTTTTTTTTCCATATTTTTGTTTCCCGTCCTAATTTAGATACAAGTTTATCTTCTATGAATTGCTCAAATCAATATTATTAGTCCTTATTACTTAGAAATAACCTTTTTTAAAAAATTTAAAAAATCACAGTGGAAAAATCAAGATTCTGGAGGTTGGATCATGATTACTATAATAAAATATTATATTCAAAAGTTTTTTTTTGTTTTGGATGAATTTTAACTAGATATTGAATGATTTATTTCATTGGAGTATTTTCAAAAAAAAAATTTCGTAATTGATTCACCTACTATTTAATAAATTTATTAATAGACATTAATGGATTTTATGTGTACTAGATATTATATTGATCTATCTGACGCATCAGAATTGGTATTCTCCATTTCTCCTTTGGCATGAAATGTGGTATACCACATTGGTTCAGGTTTTGTGAATTGTTGTTTAATTAACCATTTATTTCTATCGGTAAAAATTTATTAACTCAATCACCTATATCAAAACAACTCATGAGCACATATAAATCTACTAGATTTCTCCATCAATTGGTTATTTCCAAATGTTGTTTGGGATTGCAGCTCCAAATGGATGGTAAACATCACCTAAGGCTTAATATTGACGAATGGGCAAGTACCTGAGGAAAAGATGAATACCAATCAGATACCCCCCAGCAATTGTATCTGCAACATTTCTCTTTTGCTCAATATGTGTTACTGATGTCCTTGAATATTATTTTCATGGTTTTTTCACCTGTTGTCAAGTCATTTCCCATATTCATAATTTTTTGATTGCATGCGAGATCTATTACAGTATTAGTATTATTGTAGATAGTAAAATCATCAAGTTGAAATTCAAGTAATCGGTTTCTAGTTCAATTAATTGGATTATTGATAAAACGGATTCATCGATTGGCCAACATATTAACTAAAGCAGGTAATTTTTCAAATCAAATTTTAGCCAAGTATTTTTTTTCAATTGGTTAAAAAAAAATTTTTTTATTGATTTAACCGATTCGCCAATTACATTTATTGTAAAAATTATTCTCTGACACTTCTACCCTCACAAATAGTCCTAATGCTTTAGTTGTAAAGAAACTCCAAACCATGATTCTCTCCGTCATGCTTTACCATATGTGACAAATTTTCGATATTAAAACGAGTCCATTTTCGCGTCGAATTTGTATTGTCCATCACTCCATATGACACTTCTACATTGTCTTATTTCCAAGTTTCATCGATCAATACACCGTTCAAGTCGTTTTTGGCGTTGAGAAGTGACTTTGATGCGAATATAAACCAATTTCATGAAAATTGTTTTAATCGAAACATTCAAGCTAGTAGATTTGTTAAGAGAGCTTTTTATATCACTAATAGTAGTTCTATTATTGGCGACAATTTCTTTAAAGCATCATCAAGCAATTTCGTCTACTACTTCTTTTTTTGCCTAATGGTGCTTCAGAATTCCATAACGCTGAATTATACTTTTCATAGTTGGAGTTGGACAACCAACTTGTATGTCCACTTTTGAAAGGACCAATAATTGTGATCTTTCAGACACAATAAGCTCGTGGTTCTTTAAAAGATGTTGAAATCTTGAAATATTGATTTTATTTTATTTTCGTCACAAGAACCGGAACTTTCAAATAAATATAAAAATTTGAATTTCGATTTTATATGTAAATGTATTTTCACATTTTTTTCTTAAATTAAATAACACCATCAGATTCTGATATTATATAAATTCCTTCGCCTTAACCGTATTCATATGTACTATCTTATTAAGTACCCACCACTAAGATAAATTAGAATTGTTTAGTTCTGCTTGTTCTGTAAGTGCTTGTAAAATAAACAATTAACATATAGGATATTGAGTTCGTTTATCGATTGTAAATTTCGCAAGTCGTTTTCAACACAAATCGTCTATCAACTGTCTCAATAAAATTACCACCATGTACATCTCAAGCGATTTAAATAAATGATTGATGGTTCATCGTTATGTCTTTGGATCATTCAATCAATCAATATGTCTTTATTTTCTAGGTTTGGGTAAGGACCTAATTCAAAACCTCTCAGTCTCAAGGTTTGTTTATCTTTCGGTGGGTGAAGAAAATGTGGCATCAATTATTATCTTGACGTTAACGTTAATGATACATATATGTATCCTTGACTATTAAATAAAATATTTCAATCATTCTAATAAAAATGCAATCAAATACTATTGAGAGTCAGTTATTCTACACTTGGAGAATTTAAATTAATGATATATACCAATCGTCCTTTGTAAGCGAGGAAATAAAAAATTCTAATTATCGAGAAAAAGGACTTATTGCCATTAAATCGATTAAATCGATAAATTGCAGCTTCAATTGCTGAATACTCCCCCCCCCCCCCAGGTAAGACATTTTGATCACGTATATGACAATCATTTGCCTTTTTAGGTATCAACAAAGCACAAGTGAAAAAAGAATTAATTTTATTAATAAATCAAATATTTTAA